TGACCGCCGATCATCTACGATTGTTAGTTAAGTATATTTACGAAAGATATTTGCCTGTGTGACACATGGTCCTGTAATGTGCACAAACGACTTGATGACCGCCCACTAAGTAAGCCAAATAGTTGCACTTCAGACTAATAATAATAATAATAATAATAATAATAATAATACGTTTATTTCCAGCACGTGCTAGAGCCTGTAGATCTACTAAGGACAGCTCATTCGGTACAATTATGCCAATGTACCTGCATCAGTGCGTTTAGTATTCTGTAGGGCCATTTTGTTAGGACAGTGTCAAATACTGAGTATATGGGAGTACCGAGCTTTGGGTAAGAGCATTTTTTACATTATTTATATATTCTTGGTCCATGGTACCTTGTGTCCTATTTCAGTCACTAGTGGGGTGATATTACTCTGAGATTCAATATACCACAACACTTCAATTTGTTGTAAGCAAGCTGCAGTTATGATGTAATCTTTGAACAGAACTTTCCCAGTCATCGATTACGACGGAGATTGCATATTTTGGTCGCTTCCCCGTAGTAGTCAATCAGAAAGTGAAATCATCACCCTCCAATGGTGATGCACCAGGTGGAAATCATCGTTCACTGTTTGCAAGGACACACGCTGAGACAGAAACTTAATGAGAATAAAGGTTTTTCTGTCTCATTGATGTGTTGGGACGTGCTGCGTGGTGTATTTTGTACCTTTAGAGCCACCCATACCAGATTGGTCTATTGTTAGACTCCAGACAAACTCGGTCTCCTGGTCCTTCAGGTCGGGATTTGGAATGAGGATGGTTGGAAGTTTGTCTAACGATGATCTCCATCCGGGTGGGCAACACGGCTTAGGCTCCTGTCCTTATAACGGGGAGGTACAGTTATACTTGTATGGAGAGGTTCGTCTATTTCGCTCGAGTCTCAACGTCCTATACAGTGTCTGTCACAGGGTTACATGGAGCCCACTAGTCATGGAGGCAAATTGATCACCTCGTGATGGGTTATTGTAAGCTACTAAACGACATTTGCGGACAACCTGATTATCGTCCTCGATCACCGCAACTGCAGTCTGCCGCAGTTGACAAACTCGACTTACCTTATGTATTTTCAACAGTTCATATGGGTCTGTGCGTCATTGCTTCGAACTTCCTCTTATAATCACCCAGACTGATTCACTGCCATTACTAGATGCACCACAATTACCCAACTCGGTTTATAGCCTTGTCTACTAATATATTTATTAGCAAGTGTCTCGAGCGAATCAATAGACTGCAGAACTTCCAACCTGCCTGATTCGAGCAGTGTAAGAGGTCACGTTTGTTGTATCCCCGTCAGTGCACTATGCCTATCCGCATAGAGGCGTTGGCAGCAATACTGCAGACACATACCAGATGTAATCAAAACAAATGCGCGACGCTCATAGTGTATTCTGTCGAATGAGTCGTCTCCCTACAGGAGTTAGCGTTCAGTCGACAGAACTTCACCCAATCAATCGCTAGCACGCGAATGTAGAACGATCAGTTAAAGCACATGGTAATGGTCGACTACATCCTCTAAATTATATCCAGCGGTGTGCGAGACGTATACCTGCCCTCATCTTTCTTTTACAACTCCGCTATAAATGAAGAAATTGAGATTGGGTTTACCAAAACCGAACTACAAGGGTTGGTATTACTTTCAGATGATTGACTTCCCGACAGTGGAGAATCCCGACGACACTGTCCTAATTTGGGCTAGTTTACGATGTTCGTAAAAAGTAGCGGACAGAGTAGTAATTGGCGTCCGTATTTTCGCAATATGCCTTGCAACATAAACATGAAAAGCTTCCTTCCAAGATTAGCAGAGACAACGTGCAGCGTTAAGAATCGTTCAGTCATTCGACTACCTTGGTAGCCATATTAGCGCCTATGGAATAGAAGATAAAATGACAAACATTTTAGTAAAACCTGCAAGCGCTTTTGCTCATGTTCACTATCTATCACAGTGGCACGACGTAATCCTCGCCATGAAGTTCAGTATCAAAAATGCAACCGCTTTTTTAACCCTGCCATACGATCGTGAAGCATGGTCCATCTGATCGAGTAAGACAAGGAAACTACTTGCGTTCCATCCATGGTGTCCATACAGCTTTGGCCAAATCCGCTGGGGACCACCTAGTGCAGAGGAAGGACGAGCGAACTGCTCAGTTCCGTTATTTCACTCGACAGGGTCCGATGGTGGGGTCGAGTGTTAAGCATGCAGCACGCCTACCCCCGCAAAGCATATTACTTGCACGACTGGGTCTGGGTGGAAGAACGAAAAGAGAACTTAACCGATGACTCTATCAGGAGGAATGAGGGCTCTCACCTCGAGCCTGGTCTTGTTTAGCGCATCCTAATTGTCAAGTTTGAGTCCGAAAAACAATGAACACGTTTCGCTAGTGACAATGGGTAGCAGAGTCAACATCTGACCTCAGTAGCGTCTGTATTGTTTATTTATTCAATTTATTTCTGGTTCTCATGTAACTCTTCAACCACGATCTCACTATGGATGCACGATAACATCAGTGCGTGATATTATTTGCCTCTGTATTTTACGTTGTTTTGTGTCTTGCGGTATCTACTTGGTCTGTAATATGGTACAATGGCCTAGGTTTTTCATATTTTTATATGGCGTGCAAAATTATGATGGTAACAATCTCCACATGTGAAGCCATCGACGGTTTGCTGACTAAAAATGTGTGAATCATTGCCCCATTGGAGTCAGGTTCTTTAGAAAAGCATTTGCTTGGCATGACTCAAAAAAATATGTGCATATTACTTGCGTACTCTGTTACAGGGAATGGGCACATCTCCCTTGAGCAAGCTAAACGATTGTTCACCAAGCGTTTACTATTTGTCTAAACCTCACAGAAGCAGACAGAGCTGAAATATGCACCACCATATAATTTAGCTCTTCCAGTTGAAAAAGAATAATTTCATTTTCCTTGAGATGACCATATACAGAACAAATTGCTGTAATCCAAATGTACAATTAGAACCGAATGACCGGATATATTGCAGGGCATGACAAAGATTCTACACCTGTGAGATACTGCAGTAAACTCCAGTAGAAGCAGTTTGCTAACACATCCCTGTCAAGTATAGCGAAAGATTTCCAAAGCATTATAAGAAATGGGTGTAGATAGATGTATGGAGAGCTCTACTGTCACACGTCGCCGTATAGGTGCGACAAAATGTGGAGACCAACAAAATTAAAGAATCGCCTCACGGAATTGTAATTGGATGAATATAGACAAGATACCAAGCAAAGGAAGAGACGAAATTCCATCGCAACATACAACAAACGGTGGCATCTGTATGTTACAGGTGACGCAATGTCTACTATTCATAAAACGCAGTCTTTCCATCCCCCATTCTATGTGGTGGTGTGAAGTAGTCTGTTCATGTCTTGACCGCTTTTCCCTTAGTTATTGACGCAATGGTCATCAGTTAACGTTAGCGTTACAAAGTATAAGTCAACTAACTATATCGGCTTCATTCAGCATTGAAACCTGGGCCCAAGACTAGGAACACCAAATCCAACTACTTCTAATTCCAAACTTACTCCTTGTTTATATACAAATTTTGTGCCTCAACCTCCATGTACTATGAAAGGTGTTTTCCCTCAGCGCTTTCCTCGCCCCCTCCCCATCATTCGCCACTTTTGGCTGGATCTCGAAGACGAAATTCAGTGTTGCTAAAGTAAGCCATGCTTATAAATCTGTTTACGTTTCACCTCGCAAATGCTTCCGGTCGATTGTTTGGAGGTTTGACAAAAGCTTTTCTTATCTGGTTTGGGTATCACTAGCCTAATGCTACCATAAGCAACATATATATATATATATATATGTTTATACTCACCTGTAAATTGCTGAAGCATTTTAGTTTTACTTGCCCCCTGAAAAATAACTCCTCAAGTCTTCTCCCCATTTCTTCGCTACATATCCTTTCAACGAAACCTTGAAGAATTTTTGGACACGTTATCTCTTTGTTGCTAACTTCCTGGTGAAAATCACCGGGAACAGATATTTTAGACCAAACTGGGAGGGATGAAATTGCTTATCTATACCTAGTTGTTCACCGGTTTCGCGATTTTGTCGTTGATTTTCTTTGCTAAACTCTGTGTTGACTATAAAATCTCATGTGTAGTCATACTACAAATTCTGTAGGTGGCTCGCATTGATATAGTTGCAAACTTGAACTTTCTGCAAAGTTCATACATAATCAACAGGAGAGCATTTAGTTTTATCATACCATAAACAATACGCTTGGTGCATGGCGTAGGCGACCAAATGGCTGGCTAGCCGAACAACCTCCCCAAGATGCCATCTGGGTGCTTCGGGGTAATCCCATTCCACCGACTAATTCGGCTACGTAGTTCAAGGACGTAGTGGGTTTTCGGTTGGCAAGCGTTCTCCCATAAAAAGCCACAAAAGTGTGTTTAACAACATTGTGAAGTGGTGAATGTCGCTCGCCACTAAATCAAATCAATGCCCCTTCCCTTTATGAAGGTTATTTCCCACTTCGCGAGCGCCATCCAGTTCGAAAATTCCATTGATCCCTTTACACGATGGCAAACACATCGAACAAAATCACGAATTCAGAGTCACATTAACCAATTCACTCATCATGTCCACTTACACACATACCTACGATTAGCCAAACCAAGATAGATCTAGTATGTTACTGGTTAACTTGCGGCATTTTTGTACAATTACCGACCATACTGGTTTGCAGTATCAGGGTCATGTCTTTTCAGGCGTACAGAAGAAAAAATTTATTTATCTATTTCGTTATGTAGTCCCTGGCATTAAAAAGAATCCCAAACATGAGGACAACTTCAATAAACGCGTATTAGTGAGAAAATTTTGTAGTCCTGTACCTTCATAAACATGCCGCAAAGGTTGTATGATTATGGGATAATTTGACGACGTGACTACTATGCAACGTTCAAGCACTCCAACAAACGTAGGCTACTCACCAAGTGAAGGTCAAGCCTGTGCTTCCTGGACCAGAACCTTTCATGATTCGCAATATTGCCGCTTGAGTAGTTGTACCATCCAGTTGGATCAAGGTTGAGAAGACAGTAGAGAAAATTGTGAAGGACGCGTACAAGCTAGCGTACGGTAGAAGAGAATAAGGTGCAAGATGAGCGTCAGATTTGGACAAGTTAAGTGGATTATGTGGAACGGAATGTGCAGCTTAAATGTTGACACTCAAGCGTGCAAACTGACACTTCGGAGTATTATAAGAACCGTAAGGGGTCGCCGTTCAAGTGGACTTCCTGCCTCCGTGTCCCATTGCAATTTGACTGAAAACGAGGGGTTCTCTCGATTAACCTGCTATTTCGAACATTCTTCTAAAGAATGACATGAGACCAATGCCAAGTACAAAGAAAACTAGGCTACGTGAGATCGAATACCAACCGGCCAAATGGGGCGCATCTTCTCGATAGTGTATGTTGTGAGTTAGTCAGTTGTTGCTGTAAATAAAACGGCGTCCGCCCTAGATCGATAACAATGGTGATATCATTCGCTGTCTTCCACCGTGAAGACCACGCGGGTTGAAAGCAAAGTCATGGTGTGGTTACAGGAAGAAGATTATTTCATACCTTCATTGAAAAAGGGTGCGTATATCGAGCAGTATATTGCTTTATAGAAGTTAAAGAGGTTAAACAAAGTGAGCTGCTATTGACGACCTAGGTCGTTAAAATTTCTCAAAACTTGCAGTGCAATCTTTTTACTGTCACTTCCCCCTTACACGTCATCTTTCAATGACTGATGCTGCGTCTATGCGTTTTTATTCGATTTGTTGTGAGTTATTTGCACCGTACTACTTCGAACCCTTGAAGGATTTTACAATTTTAGATTGACCAGCATTTGTTGAACACGATGTTCCTGCATCAGTCTTGTGTCTTGGGGAAGGCAGAGTAATGCCCAACAAAAGCGGTTGATATTGGTTACCGGCTGCTGGCATCACCCACGTGGGTCAGTATTTGTACTGGCGACTCACCGCAAAGGAAATATAACCTTGATCTCACCAAAGAAAGGTAAGGAACAAAAGCCAACTATTTTCCGTTTCAAATGGATAGGATTGACTACAAGATGCAAGTAAAACTCGGTACAATCCGCTGGGCAGCACAAATGTAGATTACTCACAGCTTAATTGGTGATGTTATTCCCCCACTCGTGTAGTATCATTGATCAAGTCGAATTGTCTCCAATGAAGCAGATGTGTTCACGTTAGAATCGTCAGTGAGGTGCAGTTATCCTGCTACTTCTGCGAAAGCTGACGCGGCATACACACCAATAAAACGAAATGTCGAGACGGCTTGCAATTTCCGGGTTCAACGTATACATAAACTTGTGGCCAATATAACGTACCAATAGTCATTATATCGCACAGTAGAATCCTAATCAGGTTGTACTGCCTTGAAGCATGTTCTCGGAATATGGTGTCCTTATAACTTTCTAAGAAGGTCGAATATAAAGTGAACATATTTGTATCAAATAGCTGTTTGTGGTTGCGCGGCAGCGAATCGGCGCTACGGCCTACTGGCGTACTGCTTGTGTCTTACACATGATCAACTATGTAACAATACACAGTCTGTAAAGGGCCACAACACATGGGTAAAAAACGATACAATGAATGAATGAACGTGTTTGCAGCCCGTCAGCCACTGAATACTATGCAGGCGGGCGCAAACTAGGGTACTGGAGTGCTGGTATTGTCTTCGCAGGAAGCTGTCTCCTGACATCCGACTCAAGACGGTGTAATCGATCAACACGCGTCATGGAAATTTTGCCGAATCACGTTACAACAACATTTTGAATAATACTCTTCATCGGGCTGCCAGAACCGGTTTCCGCAGAGTATACATTACACACAATGAGATGATGGAGCGCAAATTATGAATTTGCCTGTTCTGGCAAAGATTAAGTCATCCCTGCTCAAACAAACAAGTGACTAATGGCCGGTGTTCCACTGATTTGAGAAATACCACGCCCAGCTCACACGTACTAAGGTAAAGTACTGTGATCTGAGAAGCTTAACTGCATGGACACCAATCCACAAGACGACATCCTCAAGCTTGCCGAAACTCGCGCATGTAAGGTATCACACGCTCTGGACCTCAGGTTGATAACCCATATATGGTTACACTTAGAATTTAGCGACACAAACTCGTTATGCCAAGCATGACCCTTTTCAGAGCGATCGCGATGGCAAGGGAGGTGGGGTAGCTCGGCATAACCGCAGTGACCTTCAGTGCGAACCAGTGAATGATGCGGAAACACCAATCATAGACACACTCTGATGCGGTCTACAACTGAGACACGACGATTCATGCATTGTGGCCGTTAGTTTTCGTCCTCTGCTGCTCGCTCCAGAGATGAACCCAATTTGAAGAAGAGTCATGCAGCCAGATACAGCCACCTTCTCATCCCAGATGTATTCAGATTGCATGATCCATAAGTTCCGTCTTCTTTAGTAAATAATTCACGACCAAACTTCAAGAATCCCGCAGGGATTAGGCTTATCCGCATTATCCGTTTACGCACCAGATTAAGAATGCGAAACAAACCATCCCTGTTTGATTGAAGGCTTGTGAACGAAGAGTTGATGATCACTAAGCTGAAGACAGAGAGTCCTCAGCTCATTCATTCTCAACCTTTATTCAGACGTGGTCTCCTTTTGAACTTTTCTATTTCCTATGGCCACCCAACCTTGATCACCACAACTCCGGCAATTCGAAACGCCTAACAGAAGCAAATCTGTGATTTCCAGCGGTCGTTTCGTATCTTTTGTTATGATGACTAAACTTTTATCACTTGGTATCACTGCGCTTTTCCTTATATACCCCATTTTTTACTTTTCACAGCTTCAAGATATCAATCATTGTGTGGCAACATCATGCTACTTGTCTGCAATTACACAAAAGTCATCACTAATATTTAGAATTGCATTTACTTATTGTTGGCGTTTAACTGTAAGGGATGTCCTGAAGTAGGAGGTGCGGTAACTTTGTAACAATATGCTTGTCGAGATATTAATGCGAGCCTTGAGCCTGATGACCTTGAGCAATCTTGCTTACTTCTGGCTTCAGACTTGACAGCGAGAGGAGGACATCTCCTCTTGCTGTGATGTCTCATCTGTTTCTACGTTTTGTTAGAGAAACCAGCCTGCTGAATCCACATACAATCATGTATGTGGGTGGAAAATCAAGGAAAGATATTTCAGCTAGTTCCCACAGTCTGGGGTATCAGTATATCCAAAAGATCGCTCTTATATAGCGTGAATCTGGATCTTGCTGGTGTATCATTCTTAAGCTCTATGAGACTTGCCAGGACTTCAGCCCCAACATCATACATCTGTACATCAAATGGATCCAAAATCTAAATCGGGATTTCCATGTCAATCAGGTCATGAAACCTGTCTTGCATTTCTTTTCGGAGTTGTTGTAAATGACTGGCATAAGCAATCGATTGGGAATTTTGCAAATTTCCGACGTCCGATGTTCTGAGCATATACTTCCAGCTTTTAAGAAAAGCGATAATTGGATGTTTGCTCGAGATGAGGTTACTCAACTTGCCTTGAAGAGTTTTATTCAATAAGTTGAGTTTTTCGAAATCATCAGCCAGATAAAACACATCTGGCTTAGCTGTACACAGTTTTCTTTCATAATCAGTTCCAGAAAGAATGTGATGATGGTGTCCCAGAGTGCAACAAAACGGCGAATACAGTTGCCCTTGGAGTGCCATCTAACTTCTGTATGCAAAAGTAGAACCTGGAAATCTTCACTGTTCTCCTCACACAACTGCTGGAAAAGACGATCTTGAAAAGGGTGCGGATTGATATTGTTAACTACTATTATAAATGTTGACAGTGGATCGTTTAAGCGCCCTCCCACGTTCTTAGCCACTAGGTGCTCTCAGTGAATCACACAGTGAATTGTATGAGCAGAAGGGAGAACACTTTTTAGATGGGCAATGAATCCTCTATATCTTCCGACCATTGCGGTAGCACCACCTGTTGCACCTGCAACTATGTTTTGCATTGTGATGGAGTTTTCAGGCAGATAGCCATTGACTACCTCGAATATAGACTGGCCCTTTGTATAAGTTTTATATATCCTGGCAAGCAGCATCTCTTCCATTAATACATTATCATTGAAGAATCGAATATATGCCGCGAGAAGAGCGTCGTTATCAGATAAAGTAGATTAATCTACTAGTGACGAAAATTTTCTGGACTGTAGTAAGGTAACTAAGGTACTTTGTATGTCCTGAGCCATCTCATCTATTCGCCTAGATACAGTTGAGTTGCTGAGCAGAATGGCTTAAACTGCTTCTTGTGGATTCATATACATCAGGTCAGACAGTATTATTGATACTGAAGGCAAGATAATATTTTCTCCAACATTATGTGGACTGCAATTTTTGGCAATCAATTTGCTGATTTTATAAGACGCCGTAAGTCCATTTGCCATTTTTGCCCTGTCAGAAACTATTGTCTTTAAAGTTGGTATGTTTTCGAAGCTATCCCGCAGCTTTCTAAAAAATCCACAGACTTTCCGCTTTCGCCCTTATCAATACTTTCCAAATGATTTTCCAGTTTACGTGGTCGCATACTTTCATTTGAAAGAGTGTTTTGGCAAATTAAACACATAGGTAGAGTGGGGTTTTGAAGTGATGCGATGAATCCAAATGACAGGTATTCTACGGAGTACTGCCGAAACTTATTCGTTGCCGAGGAGATCATTTCTGAAATATGTCATTGTAAATTGTTAATATGTAGTATACGTATACTGCTTTTGTTTTAATATTCTTACACAGTTATATCACGTGCATTAAATAACATCATTCGACAAGGCGAAACACGCAGGTAGTATTAATAATTGGTGGCACTAAATTTCTTCTTTCTTGAGCGTGAAGTTATAAGAAAAGACGTTTGGCAAGCATATTTGAAACTTCTGTTGGTGGCTACTATGTTAAAATGTTTTACTGTAGAAACTGTTAGGGACCACCCAAAGGCAGTTTCTGAGGATGGCTTTAAAATACCGTGGGTGGTTAAAATGACGGAAGAAAAAGGTTTGACAAAAGCCAATGAGGTAAACAA